TTTGTTCTTGTAATTAAAATCTGCAACAAGAAAGAAGGCTTGGATCTTACAACCATCAAAGTAAACAAAAAAATGCCTAATGACTGTAATTACTAGGAGATCCAACCTTGCTTTGAGGTCCTGCTTTAATTAACTTAGGGCTCTTAGTTTGTTCACTAGGTTATGTTGAAGAGATCTCTGATGGTTGGAGAGACATTCAGCACCTTACAAATTTAACTTTAAGAGTTGTCCAGAGCCAGTACGTTTTGCTCTGTTAAATAAAATTTAAGGCAAGAAAAGAGACAATCCTTGAATACCGGAAGCAAATCCATGAAGAACAAAGTAGCAAACATTCATTTTACATAAGGCAGGAAAATGTATTTTTTTAATCCTTTCAAGGTAGACGACTGCTCCGCCTTCAGCTATGAGCTTGGGCTGCCTTAAAAGTGGCATATGTGGAATATGTGGATTGTTCTGTAAAATAAATGAACTTGCTTTTCTTAAAATGTCTTTCATAGACTTCTTCAAAGAATTTCACAAACATCCATAAATCAGCAGACAACAGAACGAAAACCACCATCTTTCTCCTTCACAAAGCTCTAAAATTGTCCATCCATATTTCCATTCAACTAAGCAAATCTATTTTGAGTCAGGCAGTGCAAGGATCAAATGCATTTTTCAACTGAAAAGGATCACACCCAGTTCTCACAGACATTTTAAAACATTCCTCTGTAGTTTTTCCAGTATACAACCTGCTAAATAATAAATTCTAGAGTTTTCTTTTTCAAATCTCCTAGTATTTCTAGGAAACAACCATTTGGGCTACATTAAGTATTCAATTTAAGAGCTGCTGGCAAGACATCAAGAAATCAATAGCTTCATATATTTATAACGGAGCGTTTACCTCATGAAAGGTTATATCCTGAGACGGAAACTCTGCTCTAATTAGGAAGCCTGGTCTAGGAAGAACCTTCTTATGTGGATGTCTAAACATGGGCCTGTCTCACGTTCTCTTACACTAGCATCAGTGAGTGCTAACAACACTTTACAAGCTTTCTGTAGAGCTTGTAATTCTTAGAGTCATAGAATCATAGACTCACTAGGGTAGGAAGGGACCTCCAGAGATCATCTAGTCCCAACCCCCCTGCACACGCAGGGTCACCTAGAGCATAAATCTTCTTCCTCCCTTCCCTCCCACTCCTCACCAAGGATGCTCAAGTACTTCAGTCTTGGTCTCTGTGGCAGCACACTTGTCCCCAGCACTTGCCAGACTTCAAAAATACAGTAAAGCCATCCTTTAGTTTTGTTTATGCCGTGTTTGTTTCATATTTCATTCAGCAGTTTCTTTGTGCCACCGCCTGTTTACTCTGGAGCTACTGAGGCAAAGTGGCATTAACCTAGGACAGGCCTTCTCAGCTCTCTTCTCACCTCAGGGTGCGAGGTGAGCTCTCCCTCACCTCACACACAGAGGCTGCCTTACATTATTTATGTCATCTTCTGCTCCATAGCTGGGGCACCTTCATGCTATGATAATAAACAATATAGGTGCGCTAAAGAGAAACAGCTGGGTGTGTACTGGACTTGAATAATATAGCTGGGGCTTATTTGGCTTATTTTATTTGCTAAATGAACAGGTACCCGACGATCACAAGGGCGTGATTGCTGCAGGACTGCAGTGCCCTTGGGAAAGCCTGTGCAGTCGTTACAAACCGGACGGGCAGGCCGCCCACCCGCGCACAGAGCAGCCAAGGGAAGGAGCAGGACAGAGTATAGAAGTATAAATCAGTGGCAGGCTCCAAGAGGCTGCTGTGCATACAGTTATTCTATGGCTGGAAAAAAAAAGAAATTAATAACAGTTGATCCTATGGATACTCATCTCTCATAAAAATGAGTTAATGGAACACATTAAATATCCTATATCTTAAGCCATTTTTATGTCAAAATCCTTCCAAGAAAGACATTGGGAAAATTTAGTCCAAGTGGTCCATATATGACTGTACTAAAAGTATTATTTTCTTTTGTACCAGAACTACACAGCTGTGTGATATTTCACAATCACAGCGAGTCTTTAGTCAGGCTCTGCTCAATGTAATCAGGACAGACTGCTGTCTGAAATCAGAGAGGTACCACAGGAGTTACAGTCAATTATGCAGCTTACTGCAAACTCTCCAGGTCAAAGAGCATTGGCTTGGCTGACAATTTTGCTCAGGCTCCCTCCTCATCAGTATACTTAGCAAATAAAGTCTGCAAAATCCCCTTCCTCTTGGATTTGCCCCACTTTCAGACATTAAAACTTCCACTGATTCTAGTCCTTCACATCTTGTAGTTTCCTAAGAATAAGAACAGTGCATTTGTGTTGAGACTGTGCAGCTAAGATATACCTCAAAGCAGTCTGCTGATCTTGAGAGACTTATTAAATAAACAAACATCTTTTAAAAACAATGCAACATAAAACAATCTCCTTATAGCTGCCATAATTTTGTTAAGATTTATCTGTTTCCACCAAACAACCCAGGCTGCCTTTCCTCTTCCCTTTAGATCATGACCTAGAGTAGAACCTCATGCTTCCCTGTTATGCTATTTCATTCAGCTCACATTTTCCTTGGACAGAAACAGATGTTAGACACCTTATAAAAGAAAAAATACGTTAAAATACCCTTGGGAAATGAAGTATAAGCATGTGGGAAGTAAATAAAATTTAGTCTACTTTTTCTGTTTATTATATTGATTTCAGTAAAATTTGTTATGGAGAAATTCTCCACACATGCTGCAATACCCACTCAAATCCAGGCTGTAAAATGGGCAATATATTTAATTATTTGCCTCCCTAAAAAGACTTAAGAACACCAAAGTTGCCGCCCCTTCATTAAGAGGCTGGGAAGCGGTATCGTGTCCTTCTGAAAAAAGCACAGTGAGAAGCCACAAACGCTCAGGCAGTGCCCAAGCAAAACTCAACCTGCAGCCTGACTCTCTGCGCATCACATGAAGCAAATCAGTCACCAGGGCACAAGATAATCTTCATACACAGAAAAGGCAGAACTGCTGCCATCCAATATGGGCTAAAGACTGTGTGTGTTTTTTTTTTTTTTTTTTGAAAATGCAACCTACTCGTCTGAAGCCCAAAATACAAAGACTGAAATAGCCTAAGACATGAGAAAGTTATTACCATGCCCTCTAACGAGCCTACATTCATATCAAAATTATCCTGAAAATTAAACATTTTTCCCTTAGTTTTCACTATATTTTCATAAACATGTACCACCAGCTCTCTGCTTTCTCTCCTCTGCGTTCTTGATAAGGTCACAAGTACATCTACTGAGACCAAATATTTCTAAACATAGAAATAATTGCCTGAGGAATTAAGTGCACTTGCTTAGTTATCTAGTTCACACTAAATTCAATTTAGCTGATTTTCTTCATCTAATGTATCCGTTATTAGGGGCAATGTATGCTGCCAACTGCAGCATTTACCTATTAAAGACAGAAACTAATTATTTAATTACCTAGCATGGAGGAGTTCCTCCACTAGAACATCCACAACCATCAGATACAGATAATCAGTAAACTATCACAAGGAAGAATCGGGTCCTGCAGACAGCCATGATACATATTTGTACTTTTTCTAACATGGTAACAGAAAGATATGTGTTCTAGCAGTATCAGTTCTCATTCTTTAACTAATTCAAGTGCATGCTGTATATGCAAAGCAATGCATGAACAGGCCCTGTCTCAGGCAACGTGTGCGAGGCCGTCAGCAGTATAGGAAGGCAGAGGAAATAAAAAGAACTTATGGAAACTGATAAAGTCGGGATTGAGCAGCACATGATGTCTCCTAGGCCTCTAAAACACGATTCAGGGAGGAAACACCAGTATTGGAAGAGGATCAAATAAGGGATCTCTAAAGAAACCTCAATGTCTGCAGGTCCAGATGGGCTACATCCCATACATCTGAGGGTGCTGTCACCTTCGAAAGGAGATTGGGAGAAGTCCCCAGTGACTGAAGAAAGGCAACAGAGACACACCATTTTGAAAAAGGCCAAGGAGAACGAGCCAGAAAACTACAGGCTGGTCAGCCTCACTGCTGTCCCTAGGAAAATCATGGAATAAATCCTCCTCAAAGCCAGTTCTGAGCACATGAAGGTGAAGAATCCAGCCTGGATTTACCAAAGGTAAAGCACACCTGATCAACCTGACCCATCTGTGACTGAGGGAAAGGCATTGCATGTATTTCACCTTCACTTCATCAAAGCTTCCAACACTCTTCTTCCAGCATGCTGGTCACCAAGCTGGGATGTCATAGTCTAGGTAGGTAGACTACTAGCAGCTTCAAACAGCAGCTGAAGCATCAGACTCAAAGGGCAGTGGCCAGCAGTGTGCCAGGCAGTTTCAAGCTGGGGTCTATCCCGGGAGCTCTCTGTTTAGCATCTTTTATCGCTGGCCTGAAAAAGGAAGATTCACTATTGTCTGCTTTGAGCAGATTGCACTGAAGACTTCTTGATGTTCCTTCCAGGAACTGGAAGTCCAGGTTCTGCAGTTCTCCCCACTTCCAGCCAGAGACTGAAACTGGAATTTCTAGAATGCAAACTAAGACTTTTTTTTTCCTTCTCCCTTCTCAACTTGTTTAAAATAAAATATTTTTTTACCAAGTTCCCCTGCAAAGACTATTTTCTACTTATCTGAGCCCTCCAGGCACACTTCTCAACAAAAGGAAGTTTTATCAACATGATAAGAACAACAGTATCTCCTCAAAGAGGACTTAGCATGAAACAGAAGAGGTGGTCCTGGCCAGGGTTTATATACAGAATTAAATGGAATAGGCTTATCAGTAAATACTATCTACTGTGTTTTGTTCTAGCATATTCAAAGTTATTCTGAGTTTACATTGGCATAAACAGGAGTCATCCTACTGGCTCAAGGAGTCAACCTTCTTCACGTTCTTGGGAAAGAAGCTTATAGACTTGAAATGGACAGTTATTTTCAGATGTCATCTGAACAGCCATCATTAAAAAAAAAATACTTACTTATTCCTTGAAAGAGTTCCTCAATGTTAACAGCATTCTTAGCACTGGTTTCAACAACAATTGCACCTATAGATTCTGCATATTCTTTGGCATCCTTCATAGGAACCTCCCTAAAGAAGACATTAACAAATAAAGAAAATAAAGCACTTTTTCAAAAAAAAAAAAAAAAGAATTTAATGTTGAAAGAAATAAATTAGTTTCTTAGTTGCAATTTCTCACACCTTAATCTCAGATTAAATAAAATACACTGACAAAACACGTGATTCCTGTTTCCACCTGTGTCTGTGTAAATACAATCACATAATCCAGCCTGGCAAGATCCATGATATGAAGACCACTGTGTACTCAACAAAGTAATTTGTTTCAAAGGGCCAAGGTGCTTTTTGTCCGTCACATGACATTTTTAAGAACGTATATTGCTATCCGTTTTAACCACTATGATCATTTACATGATTTCCTTCTGTAAATCAATGAGCTCTTAAGAACAAGTCTGTCCCGTAAGTACTGTGGGTTAGCGTGTGCCACATGCACCCAGGCACAGCTGTTCCCCATCATCCTCCTTCAAAATGGCTTCATTTTCATGTTCATGTTTCTTCTAAAACTCACATTTTAGAGATGCCAGCCTGACCTTTCCCTAGCAGAAATACTATTACAAAGTGTTGCAGCCAAATAGTATCAGTTTGTGACAAGCATATTAACTAAATCTGAATCTTCCAGTAGTGCAACATAAGAGACCTTCAACACAGACTTAATTAGAAATGCATTAGTGTGCTCTTCTTTAGCGCAAAAAAGTATAATCTTTTTTCTTGTTTTAATATTTAGATTAGGAGGAAAGAGTAAGTGAGCTGGGCCTGTTTAGCCTGGAGAAGAGAAGATGTGAGAGGGGATTTGATGAACATGTACAAGTACCTGAAGGGAGAATGTAGGGAGGATGGGGCCAAACTCTTCTTGGTGGTGGCCAGTGACAAGACAAGAGGTAATTGGTACAAGTTGAAACCCAGGAAGTTCCATCTCCATGTGAGGAAGAACTTCCTTCTTGTGAGGGTGACAGAGCACTGGAACAGGCTGCCCAGAGAGGTTGTGGAGTCTCCTTCTCTGGAGATCTTCCAAACCCACCTGGATGCCACCCTGTGCCACGTGCTCTGGGTGTCCCTGCTGGAGCAGGGGGGCTGGACTAGATGATCTCTAGAGGTCCCTTCCAACCTCAACCGCTCTGTGATTACCATATTCCTACAGGAAAATTTCACTTACAACAAATTTGCAGATTTCCTGGACCTGCTGATGAATCCACATCTCTTAAAAAACAAACAAACACTTTCTACTTTTTCTACTTGTTCAATATATCAACTGCTGTGTATCAACTTTATAGCTGTCCATGGCACAATCAAAACTAGCTTCAAGTGGGTGAGCTCACTGCCCTCAGGTACCAGTCCTGACATTCCTAGTACAACTTCTTCCTAGTACAAGTGGCTTAGACTTTAGGAGAAGGTACCTTGATGACAGCACAAAATCCAATTTCACAGTTAGTTTATAGAGGCAGATATTTTAAATAAATGTCTGTTGCTCATAGGAAAAAAAGAAGTAGAGAGGCAGAATAATTGCCTTTGATTTATTACAAATGATTTCCAAAAATGAGACTGCAATTGCAGTTTCTAGATTTAGATCTTGTTTCCTGTAATTGTTTCTTCCTATTAAATGTCTTTCTATTCCAAAAGACGCAGGGAAGGCAGAATTCCCCTTACTAATTCTGAAATGGCACCTGGCCTTTAACATGAAAGGTACCACCATCTGCTGATGACTGTGTAGATTAAAAGAACAAACTGCATAATATGCAAACCACAGCAGTAAAGGAACTTTGGGAACACTGGGCTATGTAATGAAGCCTTTCATCTTGCTCTGATTTAGAGGAGAAGACAAACTTCTGAATTCCAGGCAAAGATAAAACAGCAGCAAGTGACAATGTTCTTAGGAAACTTGAACCTTCTTAGCCTTTTCGGACAATATTTCTAGGTAAGCCTGTAAACTTCCACTGCAAATGGGCAATAAGCACGACACGCAGTGCTGCCAGGACTGGAAGGCCCCACACGGCAAAGGTAGTTGTCATAACTCAGATGTCAAGATCGCTAAGATTCTATCTTGCACCGAAAGAAAAAGCACAAAAGCTTGAGTTCTAAGCCAAGAAATGAATAAACACAAAGCAGGGTGAAGCAGCAAGAAGGCAAGAACCTTCACTGCAGTGCTGGGATAGTACTAGGCAACAGTGTCAGTTAGAAGATTGTTTATGGAGGAAAAACACTTCTCTGTTTCCATTATGATTAATTGAGTTCTATAGTGCTCAAAAAATACTTTGAATTCTTGCAGCCTTTTAATATGCAAGTCTCAGCTCCTTTTTCTGAGATTATTTTTCAGTGACTTGTCAGAGGAAAACACTATTATTTAAAAATATGCCAAGCACTCAACAATACTAGAGTAAATACCAAAGATGAAGATTTATATTCATCAAACTTTCTGCCCACCAGTAGAAATTTCTTCAAAGTCAGGGAAGAAATTTATTTTGAAAGAGTGCCAACACCTGCTGATAGCCTATTAAAACACTGAGAAGAGCAGCATGATTCCTAAGCCTCCCAAATCTATCTTGGCAGCTCAATCTCAAATTTTAGATGATAAATTAGGAGGGTAACACGGGCAATGATTGTAAGAAACAGTGCCCATTTCTTCCCACAGGAAAATAAGTTATTTTTGCTTCCATTCATTCCTCTCTACATTATCTCCAATAGTGATAGAGATGGCTGAATCAAATCAATTGGGACTTGTCCTCTTCCCTTCTATTCATGTTGGTCTTAAAAGCAGTTGTGTCTCTAGTACCCAGCAAAACATTTTTCAAAAGGTCTATAAAACCAAAATGAGATGCCAAAAAAGCATTCAAACAGTACCTTGCACTTGTGTGTGCCCACATCACCTTATTTTAATTGCTTTAAGTCCAAAAGCCTATGTATTTTCTACACTGAAGAAAAATGTGATCAACTGGTGAAACATTTCACATAAAATCATTTTTACTGAAGTGAATTTTAAGACACAAGGCAGTCAGAGAACACTACTATTGTGTGTATGGCAAAAAATCAGCTTTCCAGAAGAAATGAGAAAACATATCACATACAATATAGTCGGCCCTGTATAGTCAACACCAGATAGCGCATGGAGAAAACCTTCTGGTGCAGCAGTGGCCTTAGGAGGAACTGCAGGGCAGCACTTTGCAGTGCAAGTTTTCCTCATGTCCCCATGGAAACTCGTCTGGGGTCGAGCAGCATTTGAAAGCTTGCTGGCCAGGCACGTGCCACCACGAGGCACACTACTGCCTTTTAACTCACTTGATGGATTCATTTGCACTCACTGCCCTTTGTGGCAACCTTCACACTTACCAGCCTTGATTTAATCAAGCAAATGCATTTATGAGAACATTTAAGCAATAACTTTAAAGTGAGCCTCAGGGGAACCAAAAGCTCTAACCTGTATTTTTTAAAAATATATATATATAATTCTCTTTTCTTATCTCACATCTAAAAACATTTTGTCTCGTTATTCTATGACTTGCTTTCACAGTGTTGACAAGCTGATCATGTCATCCCACAGGAGATGGCAATAGACTATCTGTCTCCCACTTCTAGGCCAAGAGAAATCAGGGATCTTGTAGAGTCAGGCCTTGTTCAGCTCTTAGATAAAGCAGGATATTTTTTTTTTTTGATAAGTGACAGGCTGGGGGGAGGGAAATCCAACAGAGGTCCATCCATATGGCCTTGATTCAAAAAAACACTATATCAAGTACTTGAAGTTACACACATGCCTCAGGACTGTGGTGACCCTGGGTCAAAATAAAGATTACAAAACGATAGGAGAATATATTTGAACTGTAATGAGAGTTTGCAAGACCCCAGAGAGAAAAGTATCAAATATGGCCACTATACTCAGGGATGGAACAAGATAAAACTGGAAGTTGTGGCCTGCCACAAAGGGTTACTGTTGTACAGCAGCGTGGGCTTCTGTTTCCAGAATGGACAAACACAAATCCAAAATAGAGATAACAAGGAGAAGAGCAAATCTGTCCTCAAACATATCACAGAGAGCAGCATCTTGGTTTGTTTGCAGGGGGGTTGAGTCTAGCTCTCTCCTTATTTACTCAGCAAGTTCTTGGCTTTACACATGGGATTCAAGCCAGAGTGCTGCACCTTTTAACATGAACGGAGAAAAAAAGGGGGGCAGGGAAGAAGCGTTTTCCATTTCCAGTTTTTCAGCACCTGAAGGGCATAGACTGCACAAATACAGTGCACTGCTGCTGCTGAGATGTAACTGTGCATCTCTGAAAGCAAACAAATTGATACGATGACTGGTGTTAGAAAAGGCTCAGTACAGATGACCAAAATGTTACTATGGGAACAATAAAGAAAACTTACCTGTAACTACAAGCAACAATTAAAGTTACAAAAAAGATGATGTATTACCTGATATCTGAAAGATCACATTTGTTTCCAGCAATGGCCATTACGATGTTTTCAGGACCATGTTCTTTTAGCTCTTTCACCCATTTCTTCAAAGTATGAAATGAATCCTAAATGAGAGAAATTAAAATAAATAATAATAATAATAATAATAAACTAACAGCCTCATCTCCTCCTTTTTCTTTTCCTTCTTTAAGTTAGAGGAACACAGCTTTGAGGATCTTAATGATATGACAATCTCATAGATCACAAGACCAAAACAGCATCATTGCAGCTATATGCTCCGTTTTCCAATCTTGAAGTCATAAGATTTAATTCTTGCTTGAACTTAGAAATGTCTTAAATAAATAAATAAATGCTGATTTTTTAAATTTTCTCTGCTGAAGAAACCACTCATTTCTTCTTTTAGGTTTGGCTAGTAACTAATGTCTTTCACTCTTAATGTGAGCTTCACTTGTCTACTTTTAGCTTCTAGGCAGTGGATTGTCATCTCTATCACTGTCATCCTGTCAGCAGCATCCATAGGGCTATGACCTCCACCCGCATTTCCAACTCTGTGGCCTGGCAAATCTCAGTTTATTCGTTAGCAAACCAAAGAGCTAGGACACAGTTTATCTGACATAGCTCTGTCCTTATACTGCTTTACGAGATAAACTATCAGGCTAGCCATGATTTAAATTAAAACAAAAAAACCTATCAGATGCTTCTCTCTTCCTCACGCTTTCTTGGCAATACCAAGAGACAAGATTAGCGTCGCGCAGCAGTGGCCACCATCGCCAGCAACAGATCATTGCACTTACACAGCAGAGACCCAGCTCAGCCCTCTCAGCCTGCTAATAATTTAATTTGCAAGAAAGCATAAAAAAAATAAGTGAACAATCCTGATCATCCAAAAATGCCTCCTCTAATTCAACTTTATCAGCGGAAAATTCTTTTGAAAACAGTGAAAATTGAGTATAGATAGAGCTTCCCAGCCTCCTCTGTCTGAAAAATGAGCAAAAAACTGTTTATGAGCTGAAAATACAACTTTAATTCCAGACTAATAACGTTGAGAAAAGGTCAACGAGACCTTACTATTCCAGTACTACTTTTCAAAATAAGGCTGCCACGGAAAACTTCAGTTTCTCAGTGCAATTGTAAGATTATACACATACTTAAAAATTGTTAGTTTTAGAAGCAGTAATATGCGAACAATAGAATTTCTGTGCAGTTAATAAGCTTCTAGCTGCTTTTTGTAGTAAAAAATGAATTTCATACAGAAAATATCGGCTATAGGAGAAGGGCTATTGCAAAGTATCATGCAGCCTACATAGTCAGAGAAAGTTCAAAGCAACTTCTCTAAAATGTAGTCTCTAGCCTTTCTCTGGAGAAATTTTAAATAACGTAGAGCTTTACATTAAAATTCTTAAGGCAGCTAGGAACATCCATTCAAATTTACACAAACTACCCATTAACAGTAATTAGCATAGAAATACTTCTGTAGTTTGAGCAGAAAAAGTCTGAGTTAAAATCCACAAAATGCAAGTGGAGCAGCCAGCACATGGAAACAGTGTACAGAAAAGTGTACAGAAAAGTCTTACCTGCTTGGTGATATCGTAAACTACTAGCTGAACCTCTGTAGTACATTGGAGCCAGAGAATGAAACTGTTAAAGCAAATCCCCCCAAGAAGAAAGAACAACATGAATAAATCAGATTAATAAATCACATTTTGCCAGGTCACAAAAACATTTGACAACCGGATCACACACTTTCATCCAATAGTGAACAGGCCTCTCTGGTGGTGGCCAGTGTCTTATTTTCCTTGAATTGCGGTGAAACATGGAGGGGATAAGGGAAACCTCCCTCATGTCCTGGTGCTCTTCATCCCACTGCAGTTACCTGACTCACACTTCCTCATTGAGTGCACCCTTTTCATTACAGTTCACCTGTATTTGGAGCCATACCTGACAACATGTGCCTCTCACACAGGTGGAAAGGAAAATTTTGCTTTTCAGTTGCATCACACTGAATTCAGCTTGGGGTTGAGTTTCACAAAATGCAGCAAATCACTCGGATAAAACTTCTAAAAAAGCTACCAGCACCTGTCATTTTTAGATATCCTGAACTATAATACGTATTTTGAAAAACAAAGATTCTGGTAAATTAAGTGTCTCTTTAGCTTTCCTCCTTCCCAAGGGAAATAACCTTAAGAAAAAAAAAGCAAGCAATAAACATGTTTATTTTAAAAAGCAGCTTGCCAATAAGCAGAATAAATTTTACAATTTACCATGGTTAAACAATTGGTTTAGAATTTGAACTTATAATCATAAAAGAAAGGCAATCAATAAGCCCTTTTTTGTTGATTCACCTAAATCTATTCTTAAGGAAACCAAAAAAAAAAATCTTTCTTGTTAACTATGTTCAGTCTCACTGTACTTACAGAGGCATTTTGCATATTTTTGTACCGAGGGTGATCTGTAAAATCTTCATATAAAGCTGTGGCCACTAACCAAGGCCAACCCCTAAATCAAATGTGCTATTAGGACAGGATATAAATCTCAGCAGCAGTGAATGTGCACAGCCCCATGTGTCACACTGCCTACCCCTGCAGATTTACCACCAGACATATTTCTGCCTCACAGCTGTACTTATAAACTGACCATTTAGGCATCGGTAGTGCAAGTATTTGGGGAGCTTCCCACAGCAGCTCGAGGATGTACACATTCCTGCCCCACCGTTTTCATCCAATATTAACTCTGAAGTTATTTTTTATGGCAAAAGTAAGCAGAAATATTATTTCATTTTATTTCACTCCTGATAATATTATCTAAGCATTTTTTTCTCTGTCCTGCAATTTTCCACCATCTGCCTGTTTGTGAGGTGTTTATCACAGATCACGCACTCTCGTTCAACGTCGATACTCTCTCTTGGGAGCACAGATGCTCACTGCACACTAACCCTGACGGATAGGCAAGTGTGTACAGGTGAAAGAGCTCATTTATAGGGGAAACCAGCAGGAAGGGGGATGAGAAAGAAAGGGGCATCCACCAAGAAGCTAGGTGTGAGGAAAGGCATCTTCAGTAAGCTGAGGAGATGGGGGTTTTCTGGTCTTTTAGAGAGTGGGTTTAGTACCTGTTAAGCGCAATGAAGCCTTTCCAGATTTTTTAGAGTCCCAGTCCACTGCAGAAGTTTCCTGTGTATTATGTTAAAGCACCCTGAATATTAGGGAGCATATTTGTGCAGGGCAGATCTGACATTTCACTGTGTATACAAACCCCTCCCAGCCCATAAACTTCTGGAAAGACATCTTGCTGACTTAGCTTTAACCTAGATTACAGCGTGTTCATGAGCTGACAAAGAGCTCTCAGATAAAAGTAACCACACTTCCCAGGGGCCGTGGAGGCAAACTCACGTGCCTCGAATGCCATTCGTGCTGGCCCAGAAAGCACATTAAGAACCTGTGCAACTTCCTGGGAATTTCTCCGTGTTGTTCTTTTGACCAGATGACATGAATCCTTTTCACAGTAGCTGTTTCACTGAAGAACATTGCCAACGTTAGGGCCAGAAGGGAAAAACAAAACAAAACAAAAACACCTTCTTGCACTGGATGCTGAACAAGTGGTTTTTAAGGGAACCTGAATGTAAACCAACATATTTTTGGTAGGACTAATTAGACGGATTAGATGGATTCCCAAACTAGCTCACTGTGCATCCGAGCAGCCCCAGCCTGAGCCAAAAGATGGAGCGAGGAAGTCTAGAGAAAAAGGAGGAAGGATAGGATCAGAAGCTAGATTCACATTCAAGCCAAGCTCTGATAGCTCCATGCTTGCAGAATTGCTTTGTGCACATCTTTGCAGATGCAGTCTATTTCCATAGTCATTTTTACCCCTTTTCTCCTGGAATGAAAGCAATAATCATTTTAATCAGGGCTGGTAAATGCAAAAACAAAGAACTTATTTTAAAAGATTTTGGGAGATATTTTTAAATGCCATTTTTGTGAGAATTAATCACTTGAACAGTATGTTGCATTTCAGTAACAAAAACACAGAACTAAGTCACTTGGCCCGTTTCTCATGTCAGGAGGCAAGTGGCAAGCAGAGCCACAGCATGCAGGAGGAACGCTTCTCTGCCATGTGAATCCAAGTAATCTACTTAACTGCTCCAACTCCTTGAAAGCTCACAAGGAGGGAGGGCAAACTCCAGGCAGGCAGCATCAGAAAAGCCATCGTCTCCAGAAAGCACCACATACTCGGCTGGAAGTGCGCTGGCAACAAATACCATAAGAAATCATTGTTGTCCCTGACAAAACGTAAGACGATGCTCTGCAACACTGAATGAATCAGCCAGGATTTAAAAATTGTGCTTTAAAATAACTTTCACCATTAATAACACATTCTTAACAAAGGTGCCTTATGAGTGTGCTTTTCAAAGATCACAAAACTGTTACACAAATAATAAAGCACAGGTTTTTTGTCTCTTTTCCTGGCCTAATTACCCTACGGGAAAAAAAAAA